CGGAATCAACTTCTTCCAAAGTCCTGGTAATGTTGCTATTTTGACCTCTTCCCATGAACCACAAATACTCTTAATTGCACTTGGAATGGTGAATCCTTTCCAGAAGGTTTTCAATTTACTCTGCCTAGGTCCATCAGAGAGTCACAATCTGTGGCAGCTATAGCCTTAAGAAATGTATTTCTTAAATAATAGGACTCGAAAGTTGAAACTACTCCTTGATCTAGGGCTGCAGAATAGATGTTGTGTTATCAGTCATGAAAACAACATTAATCTCATCATACGTCTCCATCAGAGCTCTTGGGTGACCAGCTACATTGTCAATGAGCAACAATATTTTGAAAAGAATCTTTTTTTTCTGAACAGAAGGTCTCAACAGTGGGCTTAAACTATTCAGTAAACCTAGTTGTCAACAGATGTGCTGTCATCCAGGCTTTGCTGTTCAATTTAAAAAGCACAGGGAGAGTAGATTTATCATAATTCTTAAGGGTCCTAGAATTTTCAGAATGGTAAATGAGCACTGGCTTCAACTTAAAGTCACCAGCTGCCTTAGCCCCTAGCAAGAGAATCAGCCTGTCCTTGGAAGCTTTGAAGCCAAGCATTGACTTCTTCTCTAGCTATGAGAGTCCTAAATCATATCTTCTTCCAGTATAAGACTGTTTCATCTACACTGAAAATCTGTTCTTGGGATGCCTGGGTGGCTCAGCAGTTGAGCGTCTGCCTTCGGCTTGGGGCATGATCCTGGGTTCCTGGGATCGAGTCCCACATCGGGCTCCCTGCTGGGAGCCTGCTTCTCCCTCTGCCTGTGTCTCTGCCTCTCTCTCTGTATCTCTCACAAATAAATAAATAAATATAATATTAAAAAAGAAAGAAAGAAAGAAAGAAAATCTGTTCTTTAGTGTAGCCACCTTCATGAATTACCCTAACCAAATCTTCTGGATAACTTTCTGTGCTTTCTATACCATAACTTGCTGCTTCACCTTACACTTTCATGTCATGGAAATGGCTTCTTTCCTCCAGCCTCATGACCCCACCTGTGCTAGCTTGCAGCTTATCTTTTTTTTTTTTCTTCCAGCTTTTCTTCTGCGGCTTCCTCCCCTCTCTCAGCCTTCACAGAATTGAAGAGAATGAGGGTCTTGCTCGGGATGAGGCTTTGGCTTAAAGGAACATCTGGTCTTCTATCCAGATGACACAAACTTTCTCTACATCAACAGTAAGGTTGTTTTCTTATCATGCATGTGTTCACTGGAGTAGCACTTTATTTCCTTCAAGAACTTTTCCTTTGCATTCGCAGCTTGGCTCTCTGGCACAAAAGGACTGGTGTTCACCCTCTGTGTTCCATAGCCCTTCCTTAATAAGCTTACTCATTTCTAGCTTTGGATTGAAAGTCAGAGACTCCTGTTTCTTCCTTTGACTTGAACACTTAGAGGCCACTAGTGAGTTATTAACTAACCTAATTTCCACACTGTCTCAGGGAAGAGGGAGGCCCACGGAGAGGGAGAGAGAAGATGGAATGGCCAATCGATTAAGTTTGCTGTCTTGTATTGGCAGGGTTCGTGGTGCCCCAAAACAACAACAATAGTAATATCAAAGGTGATCACAGATCACCATAAAAAATATAATAATAATGAAAATGTTTGAAACATTATGGGAATTACTAAAATGTGACACAGAGACATGAAATGAGCACATACTGTTGGAAAACATGGCATCCATACACTTGCTTGATGCAAGGTTGCCACAAACCTTCAATCTGTAAAAAAAAAAAAAAAAAAAAAAAAAAAAAAAAAAAAAAAAGCACATCTGCGAAGTGCAATAAAGCAAAACACAATAAAAGAAGGTAGGCCTGTAAATTAAATTCCTCTGTTTAAAAAAAACAAAAACAAACAAACAAAAAATAAAACCCTTTGGGAGCCCCACAGGCAGAGAGGATTGAGTCCCAACTCCCTCTTCACCTGGGTCTCTAAAACCTCTCTGGTGTGACAGGTCTGTGGGACCACCTCAGTTTCCCCCAGCGCCCCTACTTCTTGCACTTTCTTTGCTCACGCCATCTACCTATCAGCGCTGTGAAGCTCTAGATCCAGCTTGGGCCACTGTTTTCCAAGAAGCCATCCCGACCAATGGGGCCCACCGTGGTGTTCAAAACCACTCTGAACTGTTTCCTGGGTGCCAGTGAAAGCTAACTGAAGGTTAAGTGGCCTTTCCCTCCCCATTCTTTTTTTTGCTAGAGCTTAGCAGAAGTGCAAAGTCACAATAAAACCTGGGCTCACGATAAATTCCTCACTTCCCCTGTCTGTGACCTCCGAAAGCCTTCCTTGTACTCTAAGGGTAAACCCCTCACCCAGACCCTGTGAATCAATTATTTCTGAAAATGTTTACTTAACATGAGAGCAATATAGTGCCGTTAAGAAGGCCTGCTGGCCTGCCCGCAAGCCAAAGAGGGGCCCTGGGGCAGAACTTGGCCACCCATTCTCTGGCTGGGAGAAAGCGCAGCGTAGCCTTGGCCTGGGATGTCAGAGCATCTCTGGCTCAGGCCCACATTCAGCTCATTTAGCACCTCATCCATGCCAGGCTCTAGCAACAGTGAGCAAAACCAACAAAAGCGCTACAAAAGGGATCCCTGATGTGGAAGTCAGAATAGAACCTTCCTCAAGAAAATGAGACAGGAGCACAGTATTAGGAGGGGAAGGGGATCACTGGTCAGACAAGAAGGATGTAGGGAGATTCCAGGTCAAGAGATCAGCTTCAGCAAAGCACCAGGCAACTAGTCTCCCGGCATGAGCATCCCACAACCTACTGGCTGGTGGGATTCCCAACAGAAGGTTCCTAGGCTGCCCAGCCTGGGCTCTGAACACCTCAGAGCTGCAGCTGCCTTCCAGCTAACTGATGGGCCAGCAGCAGCCGCTCACCTGTCAACTCTGAGCAGCGTTGGGCACTGCGGTTTTGATGTTCAAATATGGAGGACAGAAATTCCAGAAACTAAATATGACTGTCCTACATATTTCTCCACCATTAAATGCAAAAGAAAGACAATCTCTAGGATCCCCACAGGCTGTCCCCGTATGGAGCCATGTCAGCCTGCAGGGAGCTCTCTGCAGATGGGAAACAGATTCAGGGGATCATGGTGTTGTTATCTCATGGTGTTGTTATCTCCTTCTGAGGAGGTCCTACAACCTCCAGCTCAGCTCTGGGGCATGCACTTTGAGAGGGAAAGGCATGATGAACTAAAGCCCATTCAGAGGAGGCTCTCGGGACCACATCAGAGGAAGGGCAGTTGACAGTCCTAGAGGTATTTCTCTTGGAGAAGAGAGATGTGAGGAAGGCATGAGCTGACCTCTTGAAGAGAGAGGGAGATTACCTTGCTGTATTGTACCCACCATGACCCTCTTGTCCTGCAGTTACCGCATCATTGCGAAACCACCTGCTTATAAATCCTCATCCCTCCCCAGAACCACAGCTCCTTGCAGTGAGCCCGTGTGTGAATCATTCCGAGGCAACAGCAACGAGCCTGTGGCCAGGACACAGCAAATACTGAACTAAAAGCAGAAATGACAGGAAGGCCTATCACGGCTCAAGAAAAGGAAGTGTTTTCTAACAATCCCAGGTACCTACAACAGGCCAGCATGTCTGGGAGGAAGCATCCTGTCAGTGAAGGGTCTGAAAGCAACAGAATACCCTCATGCCAGTAGAACTAAATGCCCCCCTGAGGTTTCTTCCAACTCTAAGACCTCTCCCCCTGAAGCAGTGAGGTGACCCACTAGCAGAGGGGATACACCGATGCCAGGCACACACATCAGTCACTATCTTGTGAACCCTAACAAGCCCGTGAAGTAGGCACTATAATTTCCATTCTACAGTGGAGGAATCTGAGGCCCAGGAAGGTTCAGTAACTTGCCAAAGCCATAAAGCCAGTAGGGGGTAAAAGTGAATTGTGAACCGAGATCACCAGGCTACCCACCTGCACCGAGGGAAAACGTACCCTCCTAGCCACACGGAGGGCAGCTTCCAGCCCTTTCCAGCTGGTGTGGCTCTCCGAGGGCAGTAACATTAACTGGCTTCATCTCCCCCTGATGCCAAAACTCTTCAAAAGCATTTCTACATCCCTAAGCCCAAAAGCCCTGCGCCACCATACCCAGCTCTAAGGAAACAGAGTTGGGCTAGGGCCAGCTGTCCCGTGGGAGCCTAGGGGTCGCCCTCTCCTCCTAGACCCCAACCAAGTAACACAGGATGCTATGGGAGGGGGCCCGGAGGGTTCTCCTGAAGAAGGCAACATCTGAGCGAAGCCTTCAGTGAGGAGCTGGACAAGGACAAGCAAGGGGGCAGTGTGGGCCAGCGGAGGGGAAAGGGCATCCCAGACAGAGGAACAGCAGGAGCAAAGGCAGAGAAGCCTTTGCTTTGTGTGTGGGGAAGCACAGCAGTTTGGGTTGCCAGAACATAAAACTCGGGGATCCCTGGATGGCTCAGCAGTTTAGCACCTGGGTGTGATGCTGTAGTCCCGGGATCGAGTCCCGCATTGGGCTCCCTGCATGGAGCCTGCTTCTCCTTCTGCCTGTGTCTCTGCCTCTCTCTCTTTCTGTGCCTCTCATGAATAATAAATAAAATCCTTTAAAAAAAAAAAAGAACATAAAACTCAAATTGATCAGTGAGTGGAAGGGCACGGTGATTAGAGAGACAAGCAGGGGCTGCCAAACGATGAGGACTTTGAACGCCACCTTCAGGAACCTGGACTTGATTTATCCTGAGGCCAAGCAGGAGCCACTGAGGGGTCTTGGGGAGAGGGGTGGTGGGCTAAGGCAGAGAGACAGATGCTGGCCTCGGGGCCTCAAGCCTCCTCTAGCAGCATTCCCTGTCCGGGCCACACTTTCCACTGTCTGGGCCCCAGCCCAACTCCCACTGCAGGGGCCCAGGCCTGCTCTACAGGCTGCTCATCTCTTGGAGCCTCCCCCACACCTGTCTTTAATGATAGGACTGTAGGAAGGAGTAATGCTAACCACTCTACTTACTCCACGCCAGACACTATGCTGGGTCCTTTACACAAGTTGCCTCAGTTGTGCAACCCACCGCCCTGGAAGGGAGGCTGCTGTCAGGAGCCTCGCTCTGTAGATGAGGAAACTGCCAAGGGTCATCCAGCTACTGAACGGAGGGTCTGAACCGACTTCTCCCTGCCGGCGGCAGGCACTGCGGGGCTACCCGCGGCCACGGAGAGCGGGGGGAGGAGTCCCGTGTCCGGCGGCTTCTGCAAGGACCCCCGGGAAAACAGCGGGTGGAAAATAGTGGGTGGGCCCCCTACGCACACCGCCGCAGAGGCTGGAGGCGGGAGGCCCGATCCCAAACCAAGGAATCAGGGCCGCCCCCCGAGCTCGGCAGCCGTCAGTTGCGGGGGCAGCCGCGAGGCCCACGGCCTGCGAGCTACGGCTGCAAGGACAGAAAGAGCCCGGCGCGGAGCCGCGGCCGCGGGGGCGGGGGGGGCGGGGCGCGGAGACCACTCGGGGGCGGGGCTTGGGCGGGGGCGGGGCGCTAGGGGCGGGGCTGCGGGAGGGGCGGGGCCACGGCTGCGCTCGCGACCCGCAGGCTCGTTCGGTCACCTCCCCACGGTGGGCCCGACCCTCGTTCCATACCCTGGCTCCGGCAGGGCTCATCCGGGATCTCGATGGTGTAGTCCAGCTCAGCCGAGGCCATGGTGAAGGCGCCAGCCCTCGGCACGGGCCTCCGCCGGAACTCCCGCTCGCGCGCCCGTGCCTCACCCGGGAGCCTCCCGGGCGCCGCCCAATCACCACCCACCGCCCCCGTCGCCGCCCAATCCCCGAGCCGCGCTCTGTGACCTCCGGTCCTAGCAACCGCCGAGTCCCTCTCCGAGCCCTTCGCCGCGCCCCGCGGCCCGGCCCTAGCAACCGTGCCCCGCCCCTTCTGTCCCTGCTTCGCCACTATTGGCTGGCTCGCCCGGCCTGGGCCAGATATTGGTCAGCAGGGACGCCGGTCGGGGAGAGTCCCCGCCCCCCGTGTAGGAGGGTCTGCGGGAGATTTGCGGTGTTCTGGAAACCGGAGGGTCTCCCTCCCCGACCTGTCGTATCCTACGGGGTGGACGGCAGTGCCTCTTGACTTACCTCACCCGCTACCTCCGCTATCCTTTACGAGACGCAGCTCCGAGGGCTGGAGGTAGAAAACCGTACAAAAAACGGCCAAGGGGACGCGTGCCAGCCCATCCTCCACCCAGTATGTTGAGGCCTATCCTGGCCGGTGGGGTGAGTGGTAGGCGGGGGAGTGGTGTCCTCAGGGGAAGGCTCTAGAGAATGCTTTGTTCCTGGACGATACAAAGGAGCTAAAGAGTACGGTTTTCTTGAATTTATCCATGCATTTAAAAATTTTTACTGAGGGATCCCTGGGTGGCGCAGCGGTTTGGCGCCTGCCTTTGGCCCGGGGCGCGATCCTGGAGACCCGGGATCGAATCCCACGTCGGGCTCCCGGTGCATGGAGCCTGCTTCTCTCTCTGCCTGTGTCTCTGCCTCTCTCTCTCTCTGTGTGTGACTATCATAAATAAATAAATAATTTTTTTACTGAGCACCTATTAGGTGGCTGAGCTCTACTGAAGATGAAGCTTTTGGCCATGACTACCATAAGTCTTAAAAGGAGAGGGAGACAAACCATTCCTGAACCAACTCTAATTCTGTGTGAGAGATAAATACTACAAAGGAGTGGGCCCGAAGTATTTTAGGGGTTTCAGGAAGTGTTGAAGGAGCATTTATGACAATGGGGATGTGTCTTGAGCTGGGCGGTGAACAGTTGTGGGGATATGGAGAACAAAGGACTCCTTGCAGGAGCTCTAAGACTGGAAGCAGGGGTGAGTGCCAGAAATTTTGAGCGTCTTCTGGCCAGAGGAGATACTAAGGTGAGAGTTAACTTGGAAGAACAGTTCTGCCCAGGTCCTGGAGGGTCTTGGATGTCAAACTCAGCTGTGAGCTTATAGGTAGATGGTAAAAATTTTCTAGTGTGTTTTATACCTATGAGTGCAAACGTTCAGACGATATCCTGAGGACAGTGGGGAATCACGGAAGGCCTTTAAGCAAAGGAGGAGCAATCAAATTTGCATTTTAGAAAGATCAATGATAAATGCAGAGACTGGATTGGGAATTAGGAGAAGGAGGGAGACTAGTCAGGAAGTCGTTTCAATAATGGGGAAAGATTATGGTGGCCTAAAGAATGGGGAGGTAGCAGGAATGAAGGGGGGGAATGGATTCCTTAGACACTTGGGAGCTAAAAAAGAGCTGGACTTGGTGCCTGGTGGGGCATGTAGGAGAAACGACAAATGACTTCTAAATTCCTGGCTTGAGTAAACAGAAGGAAGAGGTGGCAGGGTTTTTAAGAGAGGATATGTTCTGGCTCTGATGAGTTTGAGATGCCTGTGGGACTTTCAAGTGCAAGTATCCCTTAGGCAGTGGAATACACCTGACTGGAGCCTGTGAGAATAGTCTAAATCAGAGATAGAAATGTGGTGGCCTGTAGTGCCTTGTAGACATCTGCCACACCAGTGGATAGGTTTGTTGGGCTTTCCAGAAAGTATATATAGGCGTAAGAAAAGAAGACTTAGGACAGAGCCCTGAGAAGCCCCCAAGTCTGATGTCTGCAAAGGAGGCTGAACCTGCAAAATTAATTAATTGAGATGAACTGTGCAGATGGCAAGATAGTCAGTGGTAGAACATGGTGTCTCAGAAGCCAAGGGAGGAAAGTGTTTGAAGGCTGATGAATAATCCAGAAAATAGGTCTGAAAAAATCCACTGGATTTAGAAACAAGGAAGTTGTTGGTGATCTTTGCAAAAATGGTTTCAGTGGAGCAGTGGGAACAGAGGTCAAATTACAGTGAGTTGAGAAGTGAGTTGGAAGGTGAGGAAGTGAAAACTGTACACTTTGAGACAATTGGCTCTTTCCAAGAAAAAAAGGAGAAGGCAATAGCTGGAAGGAGACAGAGGTTTTTATTCAGATAAGAGAAATGCTTTTGGCATAGATCCAGCAAAAGGGAAAAAAGAAAAAATAACAGAGAAAAGGAGATAACTGAGACAATAGCACCCCCCCAGAAAAGGAATAAGGTCGGGGATCCAAAGCACTGATGGAGAAATTCATCTAGAAAAGCAGAGAGACACTAACATTGTGACAAAAAGGAAGCATGTGAGATTAGTACATTAGTAGTTTTGTTGGCAGGAAGTTGAGGAAATTCTTGTTTGGTGGTTTGTTCTTTCTCTGAAATGCGGACATGATATCAGCCAGTGAGAGTAGGATTGGAGGTGGTGTGCGAGATCTGAGAAGAGCAGAGAAGGACTGAACTAGCCTCAGTGAGTGAAGAGTGGGTGCAAGATGACTGAGCAGCATACAGATTTCTGGGCAGTTATGAGGCCTGTTGAGGTTGGTGACCATTCATTGTAGCAGCAGCGGTCTACGTGGTTGTGTGGGAGATATTTTTCCCCAAAAGTTATTCAGCTATCTAGTGCAGAGAGGTTAATTGAATCCTTTCAGGTTTGGGTTTCATCAGGTAGATGAAATGGAAGGATGAAGGACAAGGAAGTGGATGATTCTGGCAAAAGGCTGAGATGATGGAGCTTAGAACCTACCCTACCCTGCATAAAAGAGCAGTATGACAGTGTTATGGACTGGGTGTCCCAGTGAAGTCGGAGAACACATATCTTGGAAATAGTTGAATGAGACAGGTGTGATCAGAAAGTGGAATCATGAAGCTTGAGTTGTTCCAAGTGATGACAAGGTCCAGGGTGTAGCCATGGGAGTTGGTGGCTGGAGTGGAACATAGAACACAGTCAAGATGTTGACATGGCCAGTCCCCTTAGGTGATGACAGGACTTGAAGAGGGAAAGGATGCTTGTGAGCCAGGTACCAAAGCCCTTGATGAATTAAGTACATTGTTCTGGAGTCTATAGGTGATGATATGAATATGAGGAAGGGTAATGGTCAATACAGCAGAGTGGCATGACCCTCAAAGTAGTAAAGGTTCTTGCAAGAAAAAAGTAGAATAAGGAACTCGGTGGGCCTTGGCCAGAAGACACTCCCCCCCCCCCCCCCCGCCATCGCCGCCGGTGCCAATCCTGAGACCTCTGGGGTGTAAGAGTTTAAGCAACTTCCACCTGGGAGGGCTCTGCAGAAGTGGCACCTGGCACCTGGGGTAGAGCCAACTCTGGGGACAGGCTGAGGGAGGCAGAAGCTAAGGGTGGAGAAGACTGCTGATTGGGAACAGAGGCCTTTGAGGGCAGAGTAAGAAGCCTGGGAAGGAAGGAGGGTAGGAAATCAGGTTAGGGAAGGGGAAGCACAGAGCAGTGCAGGGGTGAGGAGAATGTGGGTAGAAAGATGATGGTTGGCCTAGAGAGTTTTTTTGTGGGGAGAGCATGCGAGCAGGTCTGTGGAGCAGAGTTGGGGGCAGAAGTGATCCGAGAGGAAAAGTGGGATCTGGGTAGAGACTGAGGGTAGGTCTGGGGAGGGATGAAGCCAGAGGGCTTTGCAGGAGGGAGATGGGAAGAAAGGTGGTCTCTGGGGAGAAGATGGAGGGAAAGGCAGCTGTGGGGGAAAGATGGGGCATGGGGGAGTCTGTAGGGAACCGATGGAGGGACCTGTGAAGAAGGTATGAGGGGCGAGCAGAAGGAAAGGAATCTATGAGAAGGAAGTGACCGGTTGTAGTGTGTATGCCCTGAGGGAGAAGTAAAGGCCAGAACACCCTCTGGCTGGGCCTGAGGTCAGAAGGAGAATGTTTCTTTCTCTGTCTCTCTTCTCCCTCCCTCCCTCCCTCCCTCTTTCCAAATGGGGAGCTGAGAGTGAGGAGTTCAGATGGGAGCCCAAGGAGAAGGCCCCTGTCCCATTCTGCAGGTGGAGCTTGCAAGAACAGGGGACAGTGACTGCCTTGTCTCCAAGGCCATCTGGGGACAGGGAGCCAGGCTGGCAATGCCCTGGAGGCTTCTTGCTTTTAGAAACATGTCTTTGATTTAGGGGGAGGAAAAAAAGCCCTCTGAGAAATTTTATTTAGAAACGAGACCAAGTGACCTTTTAGTTTTTAATACCTCTTCTCTCTTGTCACTAAGGACTTTTGACTTAGTACAATAGCTGGGCTTTTTGAGATTTTTGTGATTTTTAGTTTCCCTGCATGAAGAAGAGCCATTTGCCTGCTATAGAAATGATTTATGGATGAGTCCAGATTTATTAATCACCTCTGAAAATGGAGAGGAAATTAAAAACAAAGAGTTGACTCTGGGCTGAAGACAAAGTAGGTTTGTCATCCTTTCAGAAGACTTTGCCAAGGTGAAAAGGCCACAAACAAACCAATTTGGACCATGGTTCCTAATCCGGATTTTAATTTCATGTGCTTTGATTTTTCAGACCATTTTCTCTCCAAGGTAAAATAATGACTATTTTAATTGGCTGCCACTTACAGAGAGATTCCAATAAGCATGATGGCATACGTATATTTTTCTCCTGCATTCCATGTGTGCTCCGTTCTTATGATCAAGCTGGTGAGGCTGACTTTTACTGCATGCTGCATGCCATGATCAGTTGACTATAAATTAAATCCTCTTTTCCAAAAGCCATTTTCCATTAGTGCTAATTTGTTTGCTTCTCATTTCCACTGATCATTAGAGTCTCTGGTTGTGAGCACCAAATTGGAAATAATTTCCTTGACATTTCAAAAAAATCTCTCCCCTTCTTGAATGCCATTTGGCTGCAGCTAAAGAACATTATGGTTTGCAGAGGAACAGTTCACTCCAATTACAATTTAACTGACCGTTCATGGCACTGAATCCCTTCCTCAGTGTCCAGGGATGACACCGTTGCTGACATTGCTATTTCCTGTCATAGCTGTAAAATGCCTCATAGACTTCGCACTGGCCTTCTTGGATGGAGATTCTGCTACTCTGCACATGGCGGCTTTGGGAAGTTGGTAGTTTTATGGACCTACATATCATGGACCTTCGGAAATAACCATCCAAACAGGAGCTCACTGATTTCTTCATCCATTCACCCAGCACACATTTATTAAACATCTATTTTGTTCCAGGCATTATGCCAGGCCCTGGGGACACAAAGATAGGGAAGACCAACCCCTGCCCTTGAGGAACTCACACTCTAGTGGGATGGATGGTTAAGTTTTACAAAATAGTAGGGGAAGAGGGGGCATAGTGAGACCACAGAACCAACAACCCCTGCTGTTTTGGGGAATTAGCCAAAGGACAAAAAGGAAGCTGGCTATTCTTGATGTTAGAGCAGCAATGAGATGCAGAGGGGCTGGAAAGGCCTGGGAAGTTAAGAAGTGAGATGAGGTTAGCCTGGGACCAAGTTTGAATAGCCTTGTACATTCATGTGGTGTTTAGACTTTACCCTGTAGGCCAGTAGGAGAAAGTTTGGGGAGAAGAAGAGAGAAAGGATAGAAGCTGGCAGGAAAGGGAGTCAAGACACCATTTACATACTGATTTTGGTTGATGAAAATTGAGCAGGTGTTTAAGGGGAGTCAGAAAGATGGAAAGATTGAAGATGGAGGGGCAGACTCGCATACACATGGAAGGGCTGGGTACTGACCCGGCAGGGTAGAGAAGGGCGGTGCGCCTGATGGACCCTATTTTCTCTGTGAAGTCAGAAACAGTGGGATGGGCATCCTGATTCCTCCCCCACTTTCATCCTCCACTGCCCGTCACCAGGTCCTGTTGCTTCTCCCTCTCTGGCGTTTCTGCTTCTCTCCAGCCCTACTGTCACCAGCATCTTTTGCCAAGATAAGGGACCAGCTTCCTAACCGGTGCCCCACTTCCCGTCTCGCCCCCTTACGGTCACCTTTCTACACTGTAGTCAAGATGATATTTCTAGAACAGACTCTCTTGTCACTCTGGACTTCAAACCCTTCATTACCTTCACATGCCCTCTAGATGAAGGGCCCACCCTGCAGCACAGCACGCACAGCCCATTCATTCTCTGGCCTCTGCCTGTTTCCTCAGTTTAATCTCTTGCCGCTCTCACCCTCAGACTGTGCTCCAGCCGTTCTGAACAATCTCAGCAATGAAAATAGGAGCTAAGCTTTTTATGTGAGGTGGTCTACTGGCCCTGTGAGGTATCACCTCTTCTCAGGTAACAGAACTGACGCCTAAAGGATTTAAGTACTTTGTGTGAGGTCACAGAGCCGGGAGGTAGGAGGTCATGGAGCTCCGGTGTTTGGGTTCCTAACCACAGCCCGTACTGCCTTCCACTTGCCTACTTGAAAGACCGTTCCATCATCTCCTCACCTGGCTATCTACAGATCGCCTTTCAGCCAAGATGGCATCTTTTCTGGAATGCCCTCTGGAACAGCCACTATCCCAACCAATTGCTGGTTAGATGTCCTCCTTTGCTCACATTCTCAGAGTATCCTGTGCTCACCGCATCATAGTGCTTTAGCACCCTTTAAAAAAAAAAAAAAGATTTTATTTATTCATGAGACACATAGAGAGAAAGGCAGACACATAGGCAGAGGAAAAAATTGGCTCCCTATGGGGAGCCTAATGTGGGACTCGATCCCAGGACCCCCGGATCATGCCCTGAGCCGAAGGCAGATAGATGCTCAACCACTGAGCCACCCAGGTGCCCCTAGTACACTATTGAAACTGAAGTTGCTTATCTAGAGGGCTCAATGCCACCCCAAACCGTGTCTTTTTCACACTTATCCCTAGAAGCCTAGCATAAAGATGGGACACACTTGTCTACCACGATTTGTTGAGTTTCATGTTTAATGGAATTGCTGACAGTGAGACTGGAAGTCAGACAGAGAGACTCCCAATTGTGTTTGAGGCAACTTACTGAGGCCTTCGTGCAATGTGACAGGTTCCAGAGGCCCAAGATGGGACGGAGGGAAGCAGCTGCCCAAGATGCAGGCAGACCAGGAGATGTCATGGTGCAGAAGCATCAGGGAAGCGAACCTTCTGAGCAAGACGCATGGTCAGTGGTGTTAGTTGATGCAGCAACAGGACAAGTGAGCAAAAGACTGAACTGTCCTCACTGAACTGAGCAATTAGGAGGTTAGAGACACTGAGTATAGTGATGGGAGTGGAGTGTGGGGGATGGGTAGTGGGGGAGGGAAAAGTCAAATCAGCAGTGGGTTGAGGAGAGAATGGTCAGTGGGAGAATAGGAAAGAGTGCATAGAGGTTTTTAAGAAGCTTTGCTGTGAAGTGAGAAAACCAGAGAGGTAACTGGAGGAAGTCATGTGGTTGAGGTAAGTAGGTTGGTGTTCGTGTTTTGCTTTTGTTTTAGCCTAGGTAAGAATTAAGTACGTAAACAGAAAAATACCTAAGTAGAGCAGTTGAGGATACAGAGGAGAGAGCAGTGGACGGAGTGAGGGCCCTAAGAGGCAGGAAGGATGGATAGAGAGCTCCGGAAGGGGGAAGGAAGATAGGACAGGTGTGGGTACAGATCACATGAGGGACTGTGAGGACATTCTTGCTTTGTGGCAAGAGTAGATGTCTTGAGAACAGATGGAGGACGTGGGAGGGTAAGGAGCTGGGGATTGCAGACGTCACAGGCAAGTCACAGCATTTAGCATGTGGATCGTGAGTATCAGTGCTGGGTTAGTTGGAAGTACAGGTTCAAGGTCATTATAGTCTTGATTTTGTGCCTCTCCTACCTGCTCCAGCACATCCTGGGATTTACCCCATCAGAGCACTTTTCACTTTTCATTAAAATCACCAGATTGCCTTTCTCTCCACCCACCAAATCTCTGAGAATCTTGAGGGCAAAGACTTTGTTTGTCATGTTAACCAGTCCCAATGGCAGTGCTTGGCTAGGGGTCAGCACCCAGGACATCTGTTTAATTAATCACTGTGTGGAGTTAAGGAAATTAAAGTGCTCATTATGAGCACACTGTGTCGGATGTCAGTTTAAATAACACTTGTTGAGCACCCGTTATGTGCCAGGGACGATACTAGCCACCCAGATTGCAAAGATAGAACATGGTGATGTTGACACTGCCCAGCCGCGCTTGGGTAAACAGGAAGACAGGTGCCCAAGCCCTCATGAGCAGGAGGGAGTGGCCCATAAATGAGTGCCAAGGCACAGCAAAGGGGGAAGGACAAGAGGCTTGAGCTACAGGAAAAGACAGGATTTAGTTCAGGGAATGTAGATACTGGTTTGTGAAGTCTGGCGACGCTGGCAGCCTCCTCTTAATTCCCACTGGAATTAATTCCCACTGGAATTAATTCCCACTGGAAGCCATGACAAGGGGCGGGGCGGAAGGGAAGTCAGATTTCAGTTGTGGCAGAATTGAGACAGAAGTTCTTTGGGCTGAGATGTTTGAAACTCTATCTTGAGGGTAATGAGGAACAACCGAAAAGTTTGAAGTAGGGACATATATCAAATATGCATTTTTAAAAGATTTATTTATTTGAAGGGGTGAGCTGAAGGAAGGAGGGAGCTCCAGCAGACTCCCCACTGAGAGCAGGGCCCAACAACACAGGGCTTGATCCCAGGACCCTCAGATCACGACCTGAGCCAAAATCAAGAGTCAGATGCTGGGCAGCCCTGGTGGCTCAGTGGTTTAATGCTGCCTTCAGCCCAGGGCCTGATCCTGGAGACCCAGGATTGAGTCCAATGTCAGGCTCCCTGCATGGAGCCTGCTTCTCCCTCTACCTATGTCTCTCTCTCTCTCTCTCTCTCTCTCTCTCTCTCTCTCTCTCTCTTTCTCTCTCTGTGTCTCTCAAGCGTAAATAAGTAAAATCTTAAAAAAAAAAAAAAATAGAGTCAGATGCTTAACCAACTGAGCCACCCTGGGGACTTAGGATTTGAAGAGTGTGTGAAACATAAGGATGAAGACTTCCCCTAGCTCTTTAGATACAGGCATCTGGTCCTCAGGAGGGAGGCCCAGGCTGACAACATGGGTTTGGGAGTCCGGAAGCCTACATGTGTAATACAAAGTGATGGGAGTGAAGGAGATTACAAAGCGTGAGAAATAACAGAGAACAGAACAGACATACGAAGGAGTCTGAGGAGGCTCTAGGGAGGGGTAGAACCAGGAGGGAGTGAGGTCAGGAAAGAAATGTTTGGAGAGTCATCCACAACCCATCAGAAGCCAAGCAAGATTGGACTGCAAGTTAGCCAGGGAATTTGACAACAAGAGGTTATTGGTGGGACACCTGGGTGGCTCAACAGTTGAGTGCCTGCCTTTGGCCCAGGGGGTGATCCTGGAGTCCCGGCATCAAGTCCCACATGGGGCTCTCTGCATGGAGCCTGCTTCTCCCTCTGCCTGTGTCTCTGCCCCTCTCTCTCTTCTGTGTCTCTCATGAATAAATAAATAAAATCTTTTAAAAAAAAAAAAAAGAGGTTACTGGTGACATTTTGCAATACACGGGAGAGCAGAATGAATGCTTTTGGTTTAATGGAGAGAACCTGGACTCGAGTTTTACACAATCTGAGTGCAGTTTGTTTACACCCCTGTTGAGCTGTGAGACCTTCAATAAAAGAGCAAACCTCTCTAAACCTTAGTTTTTACATCTGAAAAGTAGGGATAATAATAACTACCTCCTCAGGAACTTAAGAGAATTAAAACAAATAATGTCCATAAAACACATTCTATGTGACTAATTATAAACACTAAAAAAATGTTGGTTTCTTCTCCCTGCCATCATCTCTCCTCCCTGCACCTTGAAAGACACATTATTCACAAAAAGAAAGAAAGAAAGAAAGAAAGAAAGAAAGAAAGAAAGAAAGACACATTATGTATCCCCTCAAGAAAAAACTCAGATACAGAATTTATCCCAGCAACTCCCTCCTGAAGTTGGCACATTTCTCTCCTTTTCCCACTCTTTCCTTCTTTTTAATCCTTTTTAAAATTGTATTTACTGGTTGTTTGGTTTGGGAGTTTTTGGAAGGAGGGGAGGTTTAAAATCCTTATCAAGTCTTATTTTGTGGTGGAAGACCTAAATATGAGACAGGAATCCATCAGAATCCTAGAGGAGGGCACCTCGGTGGCTCAGTGGTTGAGCCTTTGGCTCAGGTCATGATCCCGAGGCCCTGGGATTGAGTCCCACATTGGGCTCCCCACAGGGAGCCTGCTTCTCTCTCTGCCTATGTCTCAGCCTCTCTCTCTCTGTGTGTCTCTCATGAATAAGTAAATAAAATCTTTAAAAAAAATCCTAGAGGAGAACACAGGCAGCAACCTCTTCGACCTCGGCCATAGCAACTTCTTGCTAGACAAGTCTCCAAAGGCAAGGAAAACAAAGGCAAAAATGAACTATTGGGACTTCATCAAGATAAAAAGCTTTGCACAGCAAAGGAAACAGTTGACAAAACCAAAAGACAACCTACAGAATGGGAGATGATATTTGTAAATGTCTTATCAGATAAAGGGCTAGAAAAAAATATATAATAAACTTACCAAACTCAACACCCAAAGAACAAATGATCCAGTCAAGAATTGGGCAGAGGATGTGAACAGACATTTCTCAAAAAAAAAAAAAAAAAAAACATACAAATGGGCAACAGACACATGAAAAAATGTTTAACATCACTCATCATCAGGGAAATACAAATCAAAGCCACAATGAGATACCACCTCACACAGGTCAGAATGGCTAAAATTAACAAGTCAGGAAATGATGGATGTTGGAGAAAATGTAGAGAAAGGGAACCCTCACGCTGTTAGCAGGAATGTAAGCTGGTGTGGCCACTCTGGAAAACAGTATGGAGGTTTCTCAAGAAGTTAAAAATAGAACTACCCTACAATCTAGCAATTGCACTACTAGGTATTTACACCAAAGATACAAATATAGTGATCAGAAGGGACACCTGCACCTGAGTGTTTATAGCAGCAATGTCCACAATTGCCAAACTATGAAAAGAGCCCAGATGTCCATCGACAGATGAATGGATAAAGAAGACGTGATATATATATGATATATATATATATATATATATATATATATCCTGATATACACACACAATGGACCACTACTCAGCCATAAAAAAATAATGAAATCTTGCCATTTGCAACAACAGGGATTGAACTAGTCATCAAGTCAATCAGAGAAAGACATATGACTTCACTCATATGTAGAAGTTAAGAAACAACACAGAGGAGCTTAGGGGAAGGGAAGGAAAAATAAAACAAGATTAAATCAGAGAGAGACAAACCATAAGAGACTTAGTCATAGGAAAAAACAGGGTTGCTGGTGGGGAGGTGGGGTGGGAGGATGGGGTAACTAGGTGATGGACGTTAAGGAGGGCACATGATGTAATGAGCACTGGGTATTATATACAACTGATGGATCACTGGCTTCTACCTCTGAAACTAATAATACACTATATGTATTTAATTTAAATAAAATAAATTTAAAACATTTTAAAAGGTCTTATTTTGAAGAAAAGTTGAGATAAAAATAAATGACTACAGACTCTTAATTAAACATTACTATAGTCCTGTATCTCCCCTACCTCTCCAAACTTCCCTGACATAACACTAAAGAAATACAGAGAGGCAGGGTACCTGGGCGGCTCAGTTAGTTAAGTGCCCAACTCTTGGATTTAGCTGATTGTGGTATCAAGGCTGTGAGATGGAGCCCCATGTCAGGCTCTGCACTCAGCACAGAGTCTACTTAAGTTTTTCTCTCCCTGTCTGCCCCTCCCTGCCTAAAATAAGTAAAACCTTTAAAAATATATATAAAGGCTCCTGGGTGGCTCAGTCAGTTAAGCATCTGCCTTCGGCTTAGGTCATGATCCCAGGGTCATGCTTCTCCCTCTCCCCTCCCCCAACTCATGCTCTCTCTATCTCTCTCTCTCTCTCTTAAATAAATAAATAAATCTTTAAATATATATATATATATATATATATATAGGAAGGTATTAAGTCACAAAAGTTCAGAGGTGGAGGCAACAGCAGATGAAAGTTCAACAAATATTTGAAAGGTAGAAGGCAGGTGGGGGAATGTTACCTGGCTTGAAACATCCTAAGAAGTTACAAACTAAGTGCCCACCAGAAGAGATTACCAAGAAGCAAGTCAGTTCACCCAGTTTAACCTCCAGAAATCTTAGTGCCTTGGAGGCCCAAGTTACCACAGGTTAGACATGAGGAATGGGGCTAAGCATAGGGGGACTGGCTGAAGCCTGAATGCAGAGCACTTTGCCCTCACCCTACAGCTCTCCTTTCTCAAAAGCCACATGCCCAAAAAATAAAATAAATAAATAAAAATTAAAAAAAAAAAGGCACATGCCCACCCTAAGTTCTCTTGCTGCATAAGGAGGAAGGAAATTTAACCCTGGAGGCCTTCATACTCAGAGACCTCAGGCATAGTTTGAAAGACAGGGATGAGATATAGGGTGGAAAGTGAGTGATGGAGGGAAAGCCTACACACCGTGTGTGGCAGCCCCAGCCCCTCCCTCACCCCACTCCCAGGATGCCAGATGCCAAGCATCCAGCACCTCCACCCTCTCATCACACACACACACACCCAAAAGTAGAAAAGTCCCGAAGACCCCAGGAGTCAGAAAAAAAGCCTCCAGACTGACATTTATGTGTTCCTCAATGAAAAGATTAGGTATTGCCTGAAATTTCCAAAACCCAAAGGACATAGCACCTGATCAAGAGCCCACCAAAGGCCTAGAATACTAAGTGAAGAAGACCTGTAACATGACATATAACACTACAATTTCAGAAAAGTGTTTAAAAGCATCAAGAATTAAAACAAGCGGGAATCCCTGGGTGGCTCAGCGGTTTAGCGCCTGCCTTTGGCCCAGGGCACGATTCTGGAGTCCCAGGATCGAGTTCCGCGTCAGGTTCCCGGCATGGAGCCTGCTTCTCCCTCCTCCTGTGTCTCTGCCTCTCTCTCTCTCTCTCTCTATGTCTGTTGTAAATAAATAAATAAATCTTTTTTTTTTAAAGGAATTAAAACAAGCCACATCAGAATGATGTCAGACTTCTCAACCAGCAACACTAGGGAGGCTCAAACCGAGGGAAGTTTATTTCCGACATGGAATTGTATACCCAACCAGTATAACACAAAGTCAATATACTTTCAGACTCTCAAGGATACACACAAGAAGTAATTTTCATTTCTTAGGAAACTACTGAGGAATGTGCTTTGACCAAATAAGAGAGCAGACCAAAGAGGAGGAAGAGCCAGGTCCGGGAAATGGGACAGTCAACAGAGAAAACTGGCAGAGGGAAATCCCAGGATGTTTGTGTGCCAGGCTTAGCAAGCCACCGGTCCAAACTGGAGCAGAAAGAGAGAGGCCTGTGGGAGAGCAGTCGCCAGGGGAAAGATGGAACTGATCACTTAGGGGTTGAACGTTTGGAAAAATTGCTGTGTGTTTGGAATATTTGGAAGAAAATACCACTAGGTAGTCAGAAATATTAATCCAGGTGAAACCAACTGGCAAGAGAAAGGAAATGTAATGGTGATTTATAGCTTGAGTGAACCGTGTGTCTCTATCTGGTCAATAATGTAAATACTAACAGGTTTAAGTGAAGTAAGGGCACTACTTGGATCCTGGAGCTGCCATAACAAAGCACGATAGGCTGGAGGGTCTTAAACAACAGGACTTAGTTATCTCAGGGTCTGGAGGTCCTGACCAAGGTGTCTGAGATCAAGGAGTTGCATGATTGGCTTCTTCGGAGGCCTCTCTCCTTGGCTCCCAGAACATGAGATCTGCCTCCAGATCTCACATCCTTCCCCCATACCTCAAGGTCTGGGGCTCCCCCAGGGCCCCGGCAGTGCCGTATTCATCTCCTCGTCTTCCACAGCACCTCACAGGGTGCCACAGGCTGTCCCTGCACTGCAGGGTCACTGGTTTACAGCTGCATCACTGTGACTTTTGAAGCTGCCATTTGTGGTTTCCTTTTCCTGTTAAGAAAAGAGTAAGATTTGGGATCCCTGGGTGGCGCAGTGGTTTAGCGCCTGCCTTTGGCCCAGGCTGTGATCCTAGAGAGCTGGGATCGAATCCCACATCGGGCTCCCGGTGCATGGAGCCTGCTTCTCCCTCTGCCTGTGTCTCTGCCTCTCTCTCTCTCTCTGTGTGACTATCATAAATGAGTTAAAAAAAAAAGAATAAGATTGAAAGAAAGAAAGAAAGAAAGAAAGAAAGAAAGAAAGAAAGAAAGAAAGAAAGAAAGAAAAGGAAAAGAAAAAAGTAAGATAGGGAAGATCCAAGGGGGATAACGGGGAGCTAGAAGTTTCCTTCCCTCTGTGTCCTAGAATTGCTGGGTGCATCTCTGGTGGCACTTTAAATTTTGATGCTAGGGAGGGTCCACCCACACCAGGGGTGGGGGCAGCTGGGTGGGCACAGGGTGCTTTCCTGCCTTATAAAATAGCCAATGGTGGTGTTTCAACTGCTCTTCCCTTGGGTCCAGAAGAGCCACTCGTCTCTATTTTCTTGAGGCCTGTTTGGCTGTTGCAAGTGGCCATGGCCCTTGAAAGTTATTGTCAGACTTAGGGCTATAATGTCATTCCCAGTGATGGATCCCTGATCCTAGGAGGGATTTTAGTCATTTTTGGTTTAGGTTGATCCACAGCCCTTCACCTGGCTGCTAAGGCTGACAGGAATCCGTGGTTGTCTCCACTCCCGAGGTTACATGGATGCCCTTCCCCGGGAGCACATATCCAGTGTCCTCTGGGGAGTAGTGGAGGTTGGTGTGTATGTATGTCTGTCTCCGTGTGCCTCAGATTATTGCTTCCTAATAAAATTCTGATAGCTGGGCCCCATCAATATCTCAAATACATGTGAGGAAACGTTAATTTAGAATCAATTTTAGGATGTTTCAGACTGTAAAGTCCTTTTAACTAGATCTCTGGCGAAGATGTAGAAGCACTTTATGGGACTGTAAATTTCATGTTGAACAGTCTTCGTGAAATACACATCTCCCCTACACACAAGCTGTTCTCTCCATATCAATCATGGCCCCTGCAAGTAATGTTTCACAAATATTCTGTAAATCACAGAAAACCCCATGATAATGTGAAATATGACTTTCACTTGTCTGTTAGACAAAAGAATCACACATGCCTCTCTCCCATCAGCACTAACATTTGTTATGGATAATAACACTTTCAATCACAACTATTTTTGGAAAACGGGTTTATTTTAAACCTTCCCTCCCCCACTGAAAACACTCTCCCAAGGACACAGACTCCTACAAACCACAGCCCATTAATCCAACTATGGAATGGGAACTTTTTCTTCTCACTAACTTTTTTTAAAGTTGTTTTTAAGAGAGTTAGTATAGGGATCCCTGGGTGGCGCAGTGGTTTGGCGCCTGTCTTTGGCCTGGGGCGTGATCCTAGAGAGCCAGGATCGAATCCCACGTCGGGCTCCCGGTGCATGGAGCCTGCTTCTCCCTCTGCCTGTGTCTCTGCCTCTCTCTCTCTCTCTGTGACTGTCATAAATAAATTAAAAAAATTTTTTTTAAAAAGAGAGTTAGTATAAAAAGCCCAAGGTACAAGGTTAAGGAGCATTTTTCCTTAGCTGATTGGTATGAGAAGGGCCAGGTCTCTAAAGGCCCCAAATCTCTGGCCCCATGTGAAGTGAGGGGTGAAACAGGACCCAGGTTTTTAGCAGGCATCTTCATCTCAGCTGGTCCTTTTAGTTGCTGCCATCAGCAGAGGATCCCAAGAGCTAAAATGTTAGCTCTTAAACGTGAAACAGACGTTTACCACCTTGGAATTCTGTGACAACACAGCTAAATCCTCCCTGTCGGAGTAGGAGGTGATCTGTTCTAGAGGTGAATTTTTTTTTTTTTTTTAGAGGTGCATGGTTCTAAACATCTTGGTAACCTGTCTGTTTTCCCTCCCCTGTAGCCAACTTCAGGCCTGACTGACCATGACTTCCATAAAGGAACAGGCAGCAATTAGCCGGCTCTTGAGTTTCTTACAGGATTGGGACAACGCCGGCAAAGTTGCAAGGAGTCACATCCTTGAAAGTTTCATCAAAGCCAACCAAGGCAAGACGGCTCCTGAACTGGAGCAAGAATTTTCCCAGGGAGGCAGCTTGTTCCTGGTACGCTTGACCACCTGGCTTAGACTCATGTATCCTTTGCCAAACAGAAATAAACTGGGCAGTCTTCAAAGGAGAAAAGGAACAAAGATTACTGAGAGGGCTCTTCTTCTCTCGATTCTCTAAAATTTTAAATCAGGACGTCTGCTGATCAAAGTAGCATCCCCAAAGTCAAGAACTCCTTCCCTTCCTGTCTTGCCAACCTATAAATGTATCCTCATTCTCACTCGTAACCTCTTCTGCTCCCATCAGATTGGAAGTGGGTATTCCTTCTGTCTGGGGTTAATCCTCTCTCTGCCCTCAGGGCCTTTATTCTTTCTCTCTGATGACCTTCTCTTTTGCCTCCTTACCAGCTTTTGCATCGGCATTTGCCTACTCAAATCTCTTCTGCCTTAAAAAATTAAATCCCCATCTCAAACCAGTGTGCCACCTGTTTCCTGCCCTTCGTGGTGATGTTTGTTGAAAAGGTTATTGACTTTCCCTGTCTACACTAGTTCACCAACCTTATCTCCTCCGCCCACTGCAGTATGACTTCTGTCTCCATCACTGATGCAGGTCTCACCAAGGTTACCAATGCTGTTCTAATTGTAAAACCCAGTGGCCACATCCTTGGTCATTACACATGACCTCTCTGCGGCATTTGTCAGTCATTACCACTTCTCAAAACGCTCTTCCCTAAACTCATATAATGTTCTATGCCAATTAAACTTCAGTAAAAAGAAAGAAAGAAAAAAAGGAAGAAGAAAAAGCACATGGAGATCATCACAAAAACAAAAAACTGCACACTTTTCCTTGGTGTCTGTGATACCAGTTCTCTTGGTTTTCTCCTTTCTTTCTGCCCATCTCTAATTTTCCTCGGCCTTCCCTGAAATGTGGATGTTCCTTGGGATTCCACTCACATCCCTCTCCCTCAGTGACCCAATCCAGCGTCAGGATGTCAACCCCACTCCACCTGAAGGGCTCTCCGGTTGTGTGCCCCAGCCCACATTTCTCTCTGGGATCTGATTCCATACCTATTAATCCAACTACCATCTGCACTTCTGTCCCACAGAATGACTCACATTTCTGGCTTAGGAAACCAGGTAAATGGGTTGCCATTATGTGGGAAGGGAATACAAGAAAAGGAGGTGGGGTAGATAAGTCTGGTTTGGGACATGTCGTATGTGAAGTGCCTTGGCTTGGGAATCCCAGAGACAGATGGGTTGAAGACAGATTTGAAAGTTCAGGTTATGGATGTGTTTGAGGATATTCCTGCTCTGTGTGCCCACAGCATTCCATGGATCATCTCAGATCCTTTTTTCTTTTCTTTTCTTTTCTTTTCTTTTTTTTTTTTTTTTAGGATTTTATTTTTTAGTAATCTCTACACCCAAAGTGGGGCTCAAACTCACAACCCTGAGATCGAGAGCTGCATGCTCCACCAACTAAGCCATCCAGGCACCTCTCAGATCCTTTTATTATATATTTTTCTCCTTGCCTGAACCCTCTCCTCTTCTCTAAACCTACTCCTTGGGACGCTTCGGTGGCTCAGCAGTTGAGCATCTGCCTTCAGCTCAGGTCATGATCCCAGAATCCTGGGATCAAGTCCCACATCAGGCTCTCCGCACGGAGCCTGCTTCTCCCTCAGCCTGTGTCTCTACCTCTCTCTCTGTGTCTCTCATGAATAAATAAAATCTTTTAAAAAATAAATAATAAATAAAATAAATTTAGAAAAATAAACCTACTCCTTATTTGACTAATTCTTACTCCATTACTGAGATCTCAATGTAAACATCCCTTCCTCAGGAAGCCCTTTTCCAAGCCTAGGCTGACCTAGGTTCCCCTGTTACATGTGCTCATGGCAGCCCCTCTGTCTCAGTCACCATAACATTGTATTGTTCGTACCTGTTTAACATTGGGGCACCTGCGTAGCTCAGTCAGTTAAGCATCTAGCTCTTAATTTCAGCTCAGGTCATGATCTCAGGGTCCTGGGAGAGCCCCTCATCAGGCTCTCTCTTTGTCAAATAAATCTTTAAAAAATATATCTCAAGTGCTTGGGTGGCTCAGTCGATTAAGCATCGAATCTTGGTTTCAGCTCAGGTCGTGATCTCAGGGGTGAGAGAGCAAGCCCTGCATTGGGCTCCATGCTCAGCACAGTCTGCTTCATTTCTTTCTCCCTCAACCCTCTGCCTGTGTCTCTGCCTCTCTCTCTCTCTCTCTCTCTCTCTGTGTGTGTGTGTGTGTCTCATGAATAAATAAAATCTTTTTTAAAGGATTTATTTATTTGAGAGAAAGAGAGAGGTGGGGGACAGGCAGAGGGAGAAGCAGGCTCCATCCAGGGAGCCCGACATGGGGACTCGATCCCGGGTCTCCAGGATCACACCACAGGCTGAAGGCAGCGCTAAACCACTGAGCCACCCAGGCTGCCCTCAAATAAATAAATTTTAAAATATATATATATATCTTCCCCACTGGACTCTGTGAGGGCAGGAATCACATTTCTTCTCCTCATCTTTATATTCCTAAAGCCCAGGACCATGCCTGGCATAGAAGGGGTACTTGTTACATGTTTGTTCAGTAAAGGAATGAGTGAACCAGAGTCTGCAACTGCACAGAACTAAAAGCTAAAGTAACAACTCTTTTCCTTACAGTTAAGTCATTGACAAAATTACTAATGAGACTCAGGCCTGGAACAGGCCAAGGGAAATACTACAGATGGTGTCTTCTAGGTTGACCCCAATGTCCTCAGACATTAGTGTGCATGAAAGAGCTTTAAAATGCATATTACCATGGGGTGCCTGGGTGGCTCAGAGGGTTAAGCATCTGCCTTCAGCTCATGTTATGGTCCTAGGATCCTGGGATTGAGCTCCCTGCTCAGTGGGGAATCTGCTTCTCCCTCTCCCTCTGCCCTTGCACCGCCCCCCCAGCCCCGCCCCGCTCATGCTCTCTCTCTCAAATAAATAATTTTTTAAAGATTTTTTTATTTACTTATTCATGAGAGATACAGAGAGAGAGAGGCAGAGACACAAGCAGAGGGAGAAGCAGGCTCCATGCAGGGAGCCTGACATGAGATTCGATCCCGGGACTCCAGGATCACACCCTGGGCCAAAGGCAGACGTTCAACCCCTAAGCCACCCAGGCATCCCATAAAATAATTTGTTAAATAAATAAAATGCAGTTAACCAGGCTGCCTCCCCACCCCAACCCCACTTTCTGATTTAGTAGATTTAAGGAGAGTCCCTTGGCCTCTTTGTTTCTCATAAGCACCCTGGGGGACTCTGATGCCTGCCGTCCAAAGATGATACATTGAGAAACATCAGCACCTATAATCTGGCTTCCACCTCACAACTTGTGACACTAACCTCACCAAGGTTAGCAGAAACCTCTTTGTCACCAAATCCAGACTACCCTTTTCCCACCTCATCTTACTTGGCAGCATCTTCCATGTGACCTCAGGACGAGGTGAATGAGGCAGGCAGGGTTGTACAAGTGCAGGGGCAGATCCCATCTTCATTTAAAACTTGGGAGTATCTCATTCATCGTGGATTTTTTGGTATTAATTTTGATTTTTTTAAGTAGTGCTATGGAACATTATTTGATTACTAAGTTGGTTGATGCCCCCTGAAATTTCACAACTGAAGCAAATGGCTCATTCACCTCCCTCTAGCCCCAGTTCTGCTTGATCACTGTCCCTTCCTACAATGTCCTGTCCCCCACCTTCTCCCATGGCCAGTTCTCAGTCTCTGTTGCAGGATCTTTCCTCCCTCCCCCTTAAGTGGGAATGTTTTCTTACTTAGTCATTGCACTTACCGCTCTAGGCATTGTATTGTCCTTCCCCATCTCCCCAAGTGCAGGTCAGAATGCCCAATGTTGATGAGACACTCACAGCACACTTATTGAATGACTGAAAGAACCATGCTTTCAGGGGTGCCTGGGTGGCTCAGTGGTTGAGCATCTATCTGCCTTTGGCTCAAGTCGTGATCCCAGGGTCCTGGGCCTGAGTCTCGCTTCAGGCTCCCCAAAGGGAGTCTGTTCTCCCTCTGCCTGTGTCTCTGCTTCTCTCTCTGTATGTCTCTCATAAATAAATTAAAAATCTTTAAAAAAAATATATGCTTTCAGTATATAGCTGTGTATGTTCAGTTTCTATGCCTGAAATTATGCAGTTTCCTAAATTTTGTGACCTTTTCAAGCAACAGAGAAAAGAGAGCAGCTGAAGTGATAGAGTGTGTTAAATCAATGACCCCACATCTCCTTCCCACCCCTCTAGTTATGGTGGATTTGGAAGGAAAACATATCAGCATCACTCTGCTTTGTAAAATTACCACCTAATCTCACAGTAGCTTCAAACCCCTTTTCTAACCTTGAACTTCCAGAAGAGACCAGTAACACTAAGGATTTATCTATTATAATGACAAAAGTATTAGTTGCCACTTACTATGTCTTTTTATCCTCTGGGCACTGAGCTATGTGATGTACAAATATTATCTCGTTGGAGCTGAACACCAAGCCTAATAGGTGATTGGCATTATCCCGTTTTATAGATAAGAGAGATGAGCTTCGAAAGGTTGAGTAATTTACTAGCGAATGGCAGAGATGAGGTTTGTAGTGGGTCTGTCTGGACCAAAGCCCTTACCCATCCACCCTCCTTCACTGCCTCCCTCCCCGGGGCCCTGGGCAGACCCACAGCTCCACGTCCAACACCATCCCCAGAGATGAGCTGTGTAAATAGCCCTACACCCTCCATCTGGCCACAGGCGGGAAGGCCTGACAAGAGGAACCCTGAGCTAGACTGCCAGGTTCAAATTCCAGTTCTGTCCATTAACTCTGAGACCTGGACAGGTCATTAAACTATCTGAGATTGCTTCCTCATGAAGTAAATGGCCATATTAATAGCAGCCACCCCAGGGTGCGGTGAGAATTAAATGAGACCACGCAAGCAGAGCAGCACAGTGCCTGGCACACAATAAAGGCTTAGGACTAGTTAGCACCGGCTGACATTGTGGCAAACTTCTGGAACTAATTGCTGGAAATAATGGGCCAGAAACATGTGTAATGAGTGACTGTGAAAGCAAGACTAGCCTGGGACAGAGGAAAAGCAGGTGATGGCAGTTGGTGAGCCTGGCTGGCAACTGAGGAAAAGAGGGAGAAGGCAGTGAGGCAGGAACAGGGTCTGGGGTCATGGGGAGCTGGGTGGAGGACAGTGTAGGAATACAGGGACCACCCTTTGGGCTGACAGCCTGGCCTCCAGCTGTAGCTGCAACAGGCAGGGGGAGCCTGGCTCCGGAGCAAACACTGTGTTTGCAGTAAAGAGCCTTTCCTAATGAGCCAATCTGTCTCCACTTCTATTGGCATCCTGGGAACCAGGGTGCAGCAGAGATAATTTGCCTCATGCGCCCTCCCCCCCAACAAAGCACCATTACCTCCAACCCATTACATTAGCCTTTATCAGTCTTGGAAGCTCTCAGTCATCCTCCACGAGCTGCAATAATTTCAGCTAATTTCTTAAGTGTTCTAAGAGCCTGTGATGTGTTATGAGCCTAGTAATTGTTGACTGGTTCCTTTTCTGTTGTGGGTTGATTTCGTACCTTGTATCTGAGCCGATGCGTGCTCTGGGTGCTTTATTGCAATGAAGCTTTTTGCAAGGCTCACATTAAAAAATAACACTAAATACCGAGGTTGTTTTAAATCAGAGTTTAATTTTTCCACCATCTTCCGTTGTTCTTATTAGGAAGGCACGCAATTCTTCATAAAGATAGTGACCTCCAGTGTAAAGCTTTGAGCAAGTACAAAACTGAGAATTAATGATGAAGCTGATTATTTTTAGAGAAGTCTAAAAATGAGGCATAAAGTAATGAACTGTGCTGAGACCCAAGGGTGCAATGGTCATGGCATAGAAAGGCTTGGAAAATTGACTATGCTTTCTCCATGCGCCTCTTATTCATCAGAGCCTTCTTGCTCTCTAGGGGGCCTGTCAGACCCAAGGTGCCTGAACTGCCCCAGAAAAGCTTCCTGGGGGAACGGTGAACATGCCTGCTAGCACCGTCCCTTGTGTCCCCCCACTATGTGTTTGTTGCCACTTCCCCTTCGGCCTAGCGGCCCCTCTCAGATAAAGGACAAAATTCAACTGTTGGTCATCCTGGGCCATAGATGCTATGAGGAATCGACACAGGATCGGGTTTCTGTGTGGAAAACCACCCTGGAATTCACTCTTTAACTTGTCGTACAGCTATATGACTGGCTCCTGTTTAGATAAGCTTCTAAAGTCTATTGGCATCTTCCTGTCTGCTGTGAGCAGGTGAGTTCCATTCTAGAGAGATTCTGGGATCTCAGTGCATATGGGCTCATGGTGTCCTTGGCATTCACACCACATGGGACCACCACATTCTACCACATGGGTAGAAATCCATATTTTAGACCTGGCTAGATCCAGGGGCTCAAAAAATGTCATCAGTACTTGGCCTCTTTCTCTCTCTCTCTCTTTTTCTTCATTTCTCAGCTCTCTCCCTCTCTGTATTCATAGGCCTCCATGTGCTGTGGCCTTCAGAGGCTCCAGACATGCATCCTTCTTGCTCAGCCACACCCAAAAAAAGAGCATATCTTTGCCAGGGGTTCCCACGAAAGTTCCAGGTTTTGAGCCTCATTGGACCAACTGAGGTCACATGGCTGGTCCCAACCAATTGCTGCAGTCAGAATGATGGCATGCCCTGTAACCTGCTCACCCTGCCAAAACCGCATGGCCCATGAGAGGCAGAGGGGTGATTCCCCAAAGGATAGCTGAGGTGCTATTTCAAGAAGAGGAGGAACAGATTCTGGAAAACCAAATACAAGAAATATCCAATGTCCTTAACTTTTGCATTTATTGCTAGAAGGAAAAACTTCCAAATTATTGTGTCACTTTGCCCATGAACACTGCCTGGACCTCAGGATCCCTTAGAAAGGTGAGTGCCCAGGAACATGACAAGTGTCTTATTTCTACTCTTGTATTCCTCTGGACAGTAATCGGTACCTTAAAGAATTTCTTGAGGTTGGAGGAGTCCTGACACTCTTGGAAATACTTGGGATGGAGAAGATCAAGGAAGAGGACAAGAAGGAATCCATCAGGCTACTTCAGGTTATTGCAAACACTGGCAGGAAGTACAAGGAGCTCATCTGTGAAAGCTATGGTGGGTACTGTGTTATGTCAGGGGTGGCAATTCCCTGTCTCCCTAGGGGCCTGGGTGAAATGGTGGCAGTACCCAGCACTGCTCTAGAAAAACATGTCATGGGCAGGTTGCACAGAAGCACTTTGTACAGTGGAGTCAACTAGCTCCTGTCCATATCACCACCATGAGAGTCAGATTTATGATTTTCCTGATTCATCATTTGCTCAAAATCTTTCCATGGTGGTTTTGGAAATACTTCTCCATTTTAAATATATCCTCTTTCATGCATCCATTCAACAAAGATTTATTAAGCCATTGCCTAAAATCCTTTGTGAAATTAAGTGAGTTATGAATAACTCTAGAAATAAAATGGAAATAAAATCATTGAATATGTGTGATAGATTAGATAGATAGGTAGATAGATAGGGAGTGCTGAGAATATGAAGATGAATAAAATACAGTCCTTCTCCTCAAAGAGCTTACAGCGTGGTGAGAAGGGTAAATAACCCTGTCATTTCCATATGTTCCATCCTGTGCTCTGATGGAGGTGGATGGGGAAGATACCATGCCCCCACACATCCCTTTTTCAAAGCACTTCCCTCGCTTAATTTTTCATCATTGTTCTCGTCTATGTCTCCCCATGGCCTCTCCTGAGCCTCACTGTACACATCCATAAAATGGGACTAACACCTTCCTCTCGGTATGTTTCTGGGATCAAATGAGGCAGCATCTGTCAGGAACATCTAGTAAATTCCTGGATGCTGCACATGTGTTAATTATCATATGGCAGGGAGCCTGGGCAGCTCAGTGGTTGAGCGGCTGCCTTCGGCTCAGATTGTGATCGCGGGGTCCTGGGATCGAGTCCCACATTAGGCTCCCCACCGGGAATGCTTCTCCGTCTGCCTCTATCTCTCTGTCTCTCATGAAAAAATAAATAAAATCTTAAAAAAAATAATTATCATATGGCAATCCCAAACACATGTTTAATTGTGCATTTTGCAGAGCCATTTTATTTTTTTTATATTTTCATTTATTTATTCATGAGAGACACACACAGAGAGAGATTGAGGCAGAGACACAGGCAGAGGGAGAAGCAGGCTCCATGAAGGGAGCCCGACATGGAACTCCATCCCAGGTATCCAGGATCAGGCCCTGGGCCAAAGGCAGGTGCCAAACCGCTGAGCCACCCAGGGATCCCTGCAGAGCCATTTTAAACTTTAGAACAGACTTTTTTTTTTTAATTTTTATTTATGATAGTCACACACACAGAGAGAGAGAGAGAGAGAGGCAGAGACATAGGCAGAGGGAGAAGCAGGCTCCATGCACCGGGAGCCCGATGTGGGATTCGATCCCGGGTCTCCAGGATCGCACCCTGGGCCAAAGGCAGGCGCTAAACTGCTGCGCCACCCAGGGATCCCTAGAACAGACTTTGACAAGCTGACATGCCTATGTTGAAACAAAATCCTCTAGCCACAGAGCCTTAAAGTAAACAAGACAGTGAGGCAACACGAGAATTGAGCCTGGATTCTGCTTCGTTTGAACAGGCCTGGTTAACACATTTCAGTTGTCCCCCTCCCCCATATTATGTAATCTTGAATGATGATTGTTTTCATAACTCTCTTCCAATTGAGCATTTCCTTTCTTCTTTGCTCAGGTGTACGATCCATAGCAGAGTTTTTGGCAAAGTCTAAATCAGAAGAGACCCAGGAAGAAGTGCAGATTCTGATGGATTCTTTGGTCCACGGTAATCCCAAGTACCAGAATCAAGTGTACAAAGGTCTAATAGCTTTGCTGCCCTGTGCGTCCCCAAAAGCTCAGCAGCTGTCCCTGCAGACTCTCAGGACTGCGCAGGTAAGTCCAGGCTGTATGCTCCTGTGGTTCTGATTCAACACACTAACCTTAAAATTACCTACCACAGTTGCACTTCACACAGGCATGAGAAACAGAGCTCAGCCTCCCGCTGTATGTCTGCTATTCAATCAGCATTACTTCCAGAAGGCCAAGGCAGGGCAAAGAGTTCATGCCTCCCAGCAGAGTTATTTGTCCTGTTTACTTAAGGATCAGAAAGATGTTGGCAGACTTAAAAGTGGTTGAGACAAGCAACAAGGATGATGAAAAGACTGTAGAAAAGCTCACAGGAGTCAATTTGGTAGGGAAGGAATCACCGTGCGTTTGTAGATAGTATGGAAGTGAGAGGCCAGATCACCAGGGCTTGGGAAAGCTCCTCTTCTCTTACTGGCTTCTGCCTTCCTTTTTTTTTTTTTTTTTTAAATTTTTATTTATTTATGATAGTCACACACACACACACACACACAGAGAGAGAGAGAGAGAGAGAGGCAGAGACATAGGCAGAGGGAGAAGCAGGCTCCATGCACCAGGAGCCCGACGTGAGATTCGATCCCGGGTCTCCAGGATCGCGCCCTGGGCCAAAGGCAGGCGCTAAATCGCTGCGCCACCCAGGGATCCCCGGCTTCTGCCTTCCTGAATGTGAATAGAATTGGATTTGGGACACGGTGGCCACCTGAAGACTCGGTGCTAGTAAGGAGGTAAGAGAGGCTCCAGGAGTGATCTTGAGATGAATTATCAAAAGCTCTCAAAACAGCTCCATGCTCAGTGGAGGCAGGGAGACAAGAGATCGAAGGGATGGTAAGGCCTGACCTGTGGCACTGGGAACAGAAGTGACCTGGTCAGACAGACCTTTCTGAGGTGGAGTGCATGGGATGGAGGGCAGTAAAACAAAAGCAGCCAAAAATGACACCCGACTTTGGACTTAGCAGCAGGCTGAGTTGTGTGCCACCAGGAGAGAGCAGGAAAAAGCCGAGTTAATTTGGGAGGAGTTAGGTTTTGACTCCATGAGCCTTGGTGGCTCCCAACTGCCATCAAAGGAGCCGGCCCAGCCAGCTGCAGAAGATACAATAGGCCATTTGTGTAAAAAAAAAAAAAAAAAAAAAAGGATCCTGGAACCCCCTCCCATAGATCTTGACAGCTCTCAGGCAGCCTTTGGCAATGCTTATTCTTTCTAAGCTCCCCCAAGTAATTCTGATTCCTAGCTCAATTGAGGAATTAGTGTTGAGGATATTTTGTAGAGGTGCCAACCAGACAGTAGAAAATAAGTCTGAAGCCTCAGAAAGAGACCCGAGATGAGGATGGCAGTTGGGTTTCCTGAACAGAGAAGTAATCACTAAGACAACAGAAGGGAGCAAGCTCAGCCCAGTAAGATGAAGCAAGAGAAGGAGCATCGCTAGCATTAAAGAGAGGAGCTGAGCAACGGAACAGCTGGATTATCATTATTATTTCCAGGTTTCCATTTATTAAGTGCCTCCTACCCACCAGGCACTGTGCCAGGAGCTTACCTCTTCGATGCCTTTTAGTCTTTACAATAGCTGATGGAGGCAGACATTTCAGAGATGATGTAACTGAGCCTTGAGGGGTGTGCTGTGACGCACTCAAGGCCACACACGAAGTAAGAGGCAACTTGGTACAAATCCAACTCTCCCTAACTCCAGAGTTCTCAGTCTTTCCATATGCCACTCTGCCTCCTTGAAAAAGACCAATGGAAGCCGTTAAAGGGAAACAACACAGGGCTGTGATAAATGAAGGGAAAAGAGTTCCAACAGGGAGAACCTGAAATTTCTGCGGGTCAAATACTGCAGAGACTAAGCCTGTGTAGAACAGAAGGATGGTCCCTGCATGAAAAGTTGGGGTTCACCCCAACTTTGGTCCCATAGCAGAACTTAAATAGCAGCAGCCTGTCAAAGGATGCATGAAGGGTGAAGTGTCTTCCCCTGGGCTCCTGGGAGGCTTAGGTGTGGGGGTGGGGGGGTGGGGAAAAGGCATGATAGCAAGAGAGGATGGAGACAGTTGTGTGTAAGTGGGTGAGCTTGTGGGTGTTTCATGTGAAAGGACAGGAAATGAGAGGATAAAGGTTGAAGAGGTAGAAAGGCGTCTTCCCCAATCCTGTGAGGTCCCTGAGGGACAGAAGATGTAGGATCCTGGCTGAGTTCAGCCTCCCCCAGCACGGTAGCCAGCCTGGCCCTGCACCTCTAGCAGGTGACCGGCTAACCCCTCACTGAATGCCTCCTGAGCGAGAGGGGTCGGTGGCAACCTCAACAGACTGTCGGTCCGATTCTTGGATGCCCATCTCTGTCCTTTCTCTGGAGAAGAAGTTTCCTTGTACAGCACAGGGGCCAAGGCCCAGGGACTCAGAACAGCCCTTCCGCTCCCCATTCAGCCAGGCTGCCATGCAGTTTGGAAGTCTGCCCTTCACGTCTTCCTGGTGGACTGGATCTGAGGAGTAACCACCTTGTCCTGTTGTCTGTCTTGTCAGTCTATCATTGGAACCACACACCCCAGCATCGTGGACTGCATGCTCAAGGTACTGCGCACGATGCACCTGGAAGTCCAGTATGAAGGTAAGGGAGGCAGCCGGCTCTGCTCCTGCTCACAGATGACGGAAGGTGGCCTTGAGAACCAGACAGACTAGCTCTTAAAAGTTTTCCCTTACTCACAAAGAACCTCGTTGAGTGTGCTGGAGAGCCTTGGCTGATGGTAGGTGCTGACCCGGTCTGGTTGCAAGTTATTCAGACAATGACAGTCACTGCTGGTACTCCAGCCTCGAGGTACTTTACCATTTGCTATGGTCCACCTGGCTCTGGTTCCCAGTCATGTGTGGTACTTCCCCACTAAGCAGAAATCACCCAGAGGACTCTCCTTCTTCTAAGAAACTAAACCGGACAGTGGTAGGACTGATGAGTTTTCACCTATTCGGTACTGCTATGTGACAGCTACTTTCCGTGTGTCACTTCATTTAATCCTCAAAAGAACCCCAAGAGTACAGAGCCTGGCTCATATTAGGTATTCGAATGCTCCGATGAATGAATGATGGAGGTACTTTTATTAAGTTTTTCAAGCTAAGGCATTGAACACAAAGATATTAAGAATGCTTCCCAAGGTTATGCAGCCAACCAGAGTCAAACCAGATTTGGCTTCAAAGCATATGCTTTTTTTTTTTTTTAGCTAAAAAAAAAATAAAAGATTTATTTATTTGAGAGAGAGAGGGTGTGTATGCGTTTGCCCCGAGGGGTGGGGACAGGGCAGAGGGAAAGGGAGAAAGAAAGTCTTAAATGGACTCCACACTGAGCTTGGAGTCCAACACGGGGCTTGACCTCACAACCCTGAGATCACGACCTGAGCCACCGAAGCACCCAGTTTCAGTGCACTTCTTGCCACGTCTGTCCTGATGTCCTCAGAGCAGTCTCTGCATGTTTGTTGAGGGAGAGAGGGAGGGAGTCCTGCACAGACACCCTAAACCCTGGCGGAGGCAGAGAAGCTTGATGTCTGCTCCTGTGATAACAGTGAACTGTGAGACCCAAGATAATTTCAAATAGGCCAGACTCATACATAACAGGTGCTCAAGGTATATCTGTTGAATGAAGAATTATTATTTTCACCATGGACTTGAAAGTCGTCTTGGTGTGACTGGGAACAGAGCGTGTATGTGTGTGGTTGTCCACTAGGGGGAGTTATTCCACAGGATCCTCAGAGTGGAGGTTCAGGGAGAGAACACCGTGTTTGGCTCCTTCTGAAAATCCTCCTAAAGCAGAGGACGGAAGGTCTGACAGGTCTTAAATGTGGTCCTAACAGTGCTGAGCAGAGAGGATCAGAGAGGAATTTCTCTGAGCTGGAGGCCAGTGATGGCCACAGTCATGGTAGAGAAGACTGTGACCAGGAGGATTGGGTGATACAGCTGAAGGAACTAACCCTAAAAGGGTAGTGTTGCGGACGCCTGGGTGGCTCAGTGGTTGAGCATCTGCCTTCGGTTCAGGGCCTGATTCTGGGGTCCTGGGATCAAGTCCTGCATCGGGCTCCCCACAGGGAGCCTGCTTCTCCCTCTGCCTGTGTCTCTGCCTCTCTCTGTGTGTCTCTAATGAATAAATAAATAAAATCTTTTTTTTTAAAGGGCAGGGTTAGTTTGTTTTTAAAAACCAAATATTGATTGAACATCTGTGGTGTGCCAAGCACCATGCCAAGTACTGGGGGGTTGCTTGTGTTTGTTTGCATTGAGGAGAAAAAGGACTAGCTCAGAAGGAGGAGGGGAAAGAGGATGAGCGCCCCTCCTCCCATGCTGGAAAGGGGTAGTGACCTTGTTCCCCTGAGAAGGCTACAGAGAAAGTGGAATTCTCAGGGAAAGTCCAATGAAAATGGAGTGGAGAAGCTTAGGAGGCAAAGTGACTCTTTCCCTTATAGTGGATCAGTGGTGCAGGAGCCAGGTGACAGCTTCACCTCTTTTTTCATTGAGAACCGCGCCTCCCCACCTCCACCAAATACCAACCTGCCTGGCCTGTTACCCATGTTCTCTGCTCTCTTTCCCATTACAACCCTGTGTCCCTGCTCCCACCACAAGTCAGCTCTTCTGCTTCTGCTTATTCTCTGAGGTACATTCATAAAGCCTTCTCATAAACAGAGCTTCTCTCTTTCTCCTGGGCTTAAATCTAGAGATTAAAAGAGATTTAAAAGACGTGCACTCCCAGGATGCCTGGGTGGCTCAGTGGTTGAGCATCTGTCTTCAGCTCAGGCTGTGATCCCACAGTCCCAGGATCGAGTCCTACATCAGGCTCCCTTCATAGAGACTGCTTCTCCCTCTGCCTGTGTCTCTGCCTCTCTCTCTGTATCTCTAATAAATAAATAAAATCTTAAAAAATAAAATAAAATAATAAAATAAATAAATAAAAGATATGCACCCCCAAGTTAAATGATAGCATTTAAGGACTCATACCCCTCTTTGACCCCAAATTCGCCTCCACCCACTCATTGTTCCATTTTCTTCCTTCTTGATCTCACAGCGGCTTTTGACCCAATTGGCCCAAAGCAACTGGCTTTCTTCTCTGGGCTTCTGTGATACCGCTCCCAATTTTCTTCCTGCCAGCTGCGTCTTCCATGTTTGCTATACTTTCTCCTTTTTCTCTGCCAGACTGTTGGGTCAGCCTACTTCGCATCTCTTTACCAACACCTTCTGCCTGCATGATTTTGTCCAGGCCCCTAGCTTTACACACCACATAAATGTTATATATTAGAGTCCCAGACTGTGTCTCTGGCCTGATCTCTCCCCTGATATCTCCCCAGACATCTGAAATTCATAGCCAAAACAGAACTCTTGACTTTCTTCCCAAATCCTGTTCTGTCTCCTATTTTCAGTAAAAGGTGCCACCACCACCCCAACTGCTCAAGTAAAAAGTGTAGGACTAGGGAAGTCCTGGTGGCTCAGCAGTTTAGCGCCTACCTTCGGCCCAGGGTGTGATCCCGGAGTCCCGGGATTGAGTCCCACGTCGGGCTCCCTTCATGGAGCCTGCTTTTCCTCCCTCTGCCTGTGTCTCTGCCTCTCTCTGTTTCTCATGAGTAAATAAATAAAATCTTTTTTTAAAAAAGTGTAGGACTAGTACCAAATGGTCTGCATTCTCTCACCTCCTCCCTGTCCCACCCTTACCGAGTCCTCCCAGCTCTGTCCCTACTTACACTGTCCCCACCGTGATGGCCCTCGGCTAACCAACCATCCTGCCTGCTAGTTTCTGCTTCCATCCTGGCCTCCTGTGATCCATTCTGACATTGTGGCCAGAACAATCATTTCAAAAATAGCTTCCCATTGCACCTACACTAAAATCTACACATTTGCCATGGCCAGCAAAACTTCCGGAAATCTCTTCCCCTAGACCTGGGATTGATGGACAACTTCTCCAACTTCGGCTCAGACATTGCCTCTGGGAGAGGCCTCTGACCACGCTCTCTAAAGTTTTCCCACTGCCTCCCACTGCCCCCCCTCAGGCTCTCTCCACCTCGCCACATCACTGCACTTCCCTCCTGCAGAAATTACCTCATTCGTTCATTTATTTGTCTAGTGTCTGTGCTCTGTAAGAAACTCTGCTCCAGGGGCAGCCCGAGTGACTCAGTGGTTTAGTGCCGCCTTCAGCCCAGCGCCTGATCCTGGAGACCCCGGATCGAGTCCTGCGTCGGGCTCCCTGCATGGAGCCTGCTTCTCCCTCTTCCTGTGTGGAGACTGCTTCTCCCTCTTCTTGTGTCTCTGCCTCTCTCTCTCTCTCTCTCTGTCTATCAAAAATAAATAAATAAATCTTTTAAAAAAAAAAAGAAAAGAAAAACTCCGCTCCAGAAGAGCTGAGACTTCATCTTCTTTGTCTACCACCGTACCCTGGTGTCTAGACAGTATTGGCCAGTGTAGCCTCTTAGATATTCGTTGAAGAATGAATGGAGATGAGTGAATCATGTATATCCTGGCTTATACTGACAGTCATCATACTGAAATAAAATTTGAAATGCCTCGTTTTTTCAGCCCAGATGGCTAAGTGGAGGCTATGTGTATTAAATGACCCTTTATTTCCTGAGAGTTGTTAGGGCCAAGGAAGAGGGTTTGGAGGGGAGAAAAAAGGAAAGTTTCCTGGAGGAAGGTAAGAGATGGGAAGGCCACAAGTACACAGAGTGGATGCTCTGGTCACCTATTGCTTATAACAAACCACCCCAAATTTAGTGTCATAGAACTATCAACTATTTTACTCTCGCATAATATGTAGCTTAGGTATTACAACAGGACACAACAGAGGGGGGTGTTCTCTGTTCCACGTTGTCTGGGGCCCACCTGGAAGACAGCTGGGGACCACAACTAGAACTCAAGGCCAGTACTGATTCTTCCTTTCACCTCAGGCCCCAGTATGGTTCACATGGCACCTTATTTCCTCCGAAAGAGTAGAAGAGAAACCTGTGCGCCAAAGAATGGCTTTCTAGTCCTTGGTGCAGGGGCTTCTGGTTGTCCATTCTTGTCTACTCTTCACTTTGAAGTAGAAATAACCAGGGAAAGGGTACTGATGTCCACTAATTTCAGAGGGAGTTTTTTCCCATTAGAATTGAGATTTTAGAATTTCTTTTAATGATGATCCCACTTAACATTTGACAGCCAAAATTAAAATTAAGAGAGGCCATCTTCAAAGTGGTACTGCCTGGAATTTATCTCCATTTATGATTTCTGTGAAGTGAAAAATGGCGGTTTCCTCCCAGGGAGGACTGCTATTCCAGGAATTGGTGGCAGGCAGGGACTTAATCATGACAAGCAGTCTAAAGCCACAGAAGTACTCGCTCACTGGTCTCGCTTCCTAGAGAAGAGAAATTTCAAAGTCATCGAAAGTTTCGCAGAGGAAGAAATTAATGAGTTCTGTTGGGAATTTGAAATATATATGTGTGTGTAAATATATCTTTTACAAATAAATTATTACCTCCGGATTATAAAAATTACTATGTATGACTTAATTAGAAGCAGACCAATCACTGTAAGTTAATTTGCCAAATATATGCCTGCCAAAAATCAATTAACCAACTGAGTGCCCAGCTCGCCAAATTACCAATTTACTGA